ATTCAAGTAAGTGATCATATTTTTTTTTTGTGATAGTGAAATACTGATTTTGTTACAATCTTGTATTCTCCATAAGTGCTCTTATTGTAAAATGGTGTAAAATTACGTCGATCGGTAATAATAATTGGAAATATTGTATGTCAAAATTACTGGTACCGTACGGTACCGCTAGCCGCTTACCGTGTCTTTTTAATTATTTTATGATTTTTAGTTTTTACTGTATTTATTGGGAAGTATGTGATATATTCAATGGTATATAAGGTATACAGGAAGATAAAGTAAAATAGTTTCCTATACTTTACAAAACCATGGGTTTTTGTTTATTTTAGATGTAACTTACACGAAACATTGGCAGTTTTGGAGGACGATGAAGGTCCCAAGACGAAGCAGATATTTATAGAACGAACTCGAGATAATTGCAACTCTCGAACAATATTAGAGTTATAGGAAATGTTACGTGGGGCTAAGTGCAGCGTGCAATGCCAAGCTCCATTCCAAATTTTTGAATATTCAAAGATAAAAATTAATATTCCTTACCCAATATATAGTTTTTTTTACATTTAATATCACTTCTGTTATTTGCTTGTATATTAATACATATAATAATAATAATAAAATATATAATTTACCCTATTTTTATAAAGTCCATGATAAAGTTATGTTTTAACCGACTGACACGGTAAGAGGCTAGCGGTACCATATGGTACCAGCATTTTTTTTCTAGATTACAGGTCGGATCATTTTTTTAATGCTTGTATAGCATTATGTAGACCATAATTATGAACATATTTCAAAAAAACGAAAATCTGACACTTTAAGAAAACTCAGTCTATAATGGGTTAAATGCTCGCTTACACGTTTAAGTAAATAAACAACCAATTTTATTGTATTTTCCATTTAAAACTTCTATGTTAAGTATCTATTAACAATGTAATGTAAGTAAGAATTAGACATCGAGATTCACGGTCACGGATGTACGACAGTTCAAATCATCTGTTCAACTGACCGTGTGAGTCCGATTTCAGACTAAGTCACGATGTAAAGTTAAACTGTTATTGGGGCAAGAGAATCAAAAATAACAATAGGCTAGTATCCTAAAAGAAAACTTAATCCGTCAATTATATGTATATCAAAAAATACGAGTATTGGACACGTATATTTTTATTTGTCTATCAAACAAGTAATAACGAAGTTATGGTGCGATGAAGTTCCGCGTGACGTCACAAAGTGCTACACTTTTAATCACACTTTGACGTCACAGGCCTCTTCTTTTGAACTTTGGCACGCTTTCTCTTTAATTTTTCATTAGTTTAGAAAAGTGAAAAATACGTGTTTAGTACTTTTTGATAAGTTAACTGACGGATTAATTCAAACACTTGCTTTATAACCCATTCCTATTATCAAGTTACTCAGAAGTAGAGCAATAGGAACCCTATTTACATTTCTTCGCCGCTCAGAAGCAAGATTTTATGATTATCCTTATTTGATTAGAATTTAACCTTGACTTTGCTGAAGGAAAAGACTTCCATCAAACACGCACTCGTTGTGTAAGCCTTCTGATTCTACAATGAGGGTAGGTACTCAGCAGCTATATACTTCGCTAAGATTTTATGAAATGGCTTTGGATTCTCTGCTTTGATAGCTAAACAAGCAGATATGTCTCTCATTCTCATTCTTGTAATAAGAGAGGGACATACATTACCGCAGGGTGTATAGCGCCATTTATACAGGGTGGAATTTTGTAATGCCACCTGGAGGGAAAGTACTCTTAATACTGTAGATAGAACATTTTACTCAAAGAAAACATTACTTTATTTTTAAAAAGAAATAAAACTGCATTCAAAGATTTCTAATAAATTGCTTGGTACGCCCGGGAATCGAACCAACTAAAATCTGTTAAAAATTACACCCTGTATTTTTATTGCATAGATCGTTAGGGTTAAGTATAAGGATGAATTCTCTCTAACAAACTTGATAAATCAAATGAAAGGAAAACCATAAAATCTTAAATTATTTTAATTATTTACAGAAAATTGTATGGTATGGTGGTGAATTTTCAAAAAATTTCGAGAAGTCTTTGAATGCAGTTCTCTTTTTTTTCAAAAATAAAGGAATGTTTCCTTTGAGTAAAATTTTCTATCTACAGTATTTTCAGTACTTTCCTTCCAGGTGGCATTACAAAATTCCACCCTGTATAAAGCTTTTCCGTAATAAAAGAAAGTTTGAAAGGTAAAATTAGCTATCCTTCAGAAATAAGGCTTTTTAACATTAAAAGTGTGGGTGGTACACATGCCTTTTACGGTTTGGATTTGGGAAATAATATAGCAGTGAAATTTAATCTCTTTCTCTTGGTGAAAGAGTTCGATTTCATAATTAAACCACTGAAGTACGAATTCGAACCTAATTTTCCGCCAGCCAAAATGAACACACCAAAAAAACAATGGAGAATTTCCGAAACAAAACAAAATTCAACTGTCACGGCCACTGTTGCACTGTTACGACATCCCGACCTTGTCCTATGACGAAAAAAGACAAAAGCATAAAATAATGTTCCTCATAAGGAACGATATATGATTTGCGTGCATTTATGGAAAAGTCCGCCATCAATCCATTTGAGAGTAGCCGTTTATAGAAACCAATGAAACCTTGGAATGTTAAGATTGGTGTTAATCATATAAGCAAGTAGTAAATAAACGTTTTGTGTAAAAAGTAACGAGTTCCAGTTAACAATGTCGGTTGTTTTGAAGACTAGCTTCAACTCATGGTATCTCCCGCATGTCGTAGTGTTAAAGTAGATTATTTTAGACTAAATAATAAAAAAACGGTTCCAAAGTGTAAATTATCGTAAAGCTCTCTTTATTTTTGTAGAAAATAAATATGATTTATATCCCTTATCCTGACAGATGATTGGACCAATAACCTTCAATCGCGAAAAAAAGTGGCGCATTTTTGCTCCAAAACTCAATATAATTTTATATCAAAACCCATATCAACAAATAACTGACAGAGTGACTTACCGTTACAAAATTGGTAAAGATAGATATTTTTACTAGCTCACGATTTTTCTTGGAATTTCATTATCACACAACAGATATAGGTACCTAAGTACTTGAGTTAAATTATTTAGGACTTTCTGTCCTTGATCCAATGTTTTTTTATCAAACTCAAAAGTATTATGCCAAGTTAACATAGTGTTGACTAGGGCCTTCTCCACTATCCTATCAGTAGGACGACGATTTTAAAAATTATACTTAAATAGTTAAACAATTTAGAGCTAATTTATGAATCGTCGGATAACTTTTAACTGAAGAATAAGTTTGGCACATAGACAGTTTCAGTATGGGAAATATATCAACATGTTTATATTCTTCAGTTAAAAGATATCTGACGGTTGAAAAATCAGCCCTTAGTAATTTAACGTTCGTTGAACCAATAAACTAAACGTAAACTAAGGATTTGACCACATTTTCGAATGTATTAATAACTCCTTCTAATGCTCTCTAAAACTAAATATAGATTTATCCAATTTTAGGTATGTATTATGAATTGCAAATATGTGATTCGGTATTTGCATCCAAAATTCGAATATTTTAGATATTGCAAACAATAGATTTAGAAACTCTACAATATTTGCAAGGCCTGTGTGATTTGATAACTTTAGTAAACCAAACAACCGGCATATTGGAACTAAAAGCATTTACTTAATTTGAAACAACAACATTGAGCTACAGTATAGGTACATTATTACTATAAATAGACAATATTTGCTTGTTTAAAAACATATTTGTATTTAGTAATCTTTGGATGTAGGCTTTTATTATGAAACGGCAAATCAAGAGCAAATTCTAAAGTAGAATTTTATTAGTACGAGAGGGGACCATAAGAAACCCTACGTCACTTGATAGTAAGATAAACTCCATGGCACACGTTCAGAAGAGTTGTGCTTTTCATTCAAGTTAAACGTATGAACGAAGAAAATAAAAAGATAAAAAGTTTCGATCTGATACATTATGAAGAAAGCCTTATTTTCTAAAGAAAAATAAACGAATCTTACATGTTATGAAAGTTATATTAATGGTGCTTCGTAAATCTTCTACGAGATTATTTACGAATACAAAGATAATGAAACATTAAATCACAGGCGAAAATCTTTGAGTTTATTCTATTGTAACAATATTCCGCCTGTATTCACAAACGATGCTTGCTTAAGTGAAGTAGCAAATCGAACGCACAGCGTTGAATAGAGCTCTGTGATTGGTTCATGTGTCATCATAGTAATATTTGTGTATATGGACGTTAGTATTCTGTTACACACTCAATTTATTACAAAATATTATGGCAGTAGTATAATCCTTTAAAAACCTTAAATAGTGTGATTTCAAAAAATAAAATATGTATTGTTATTTTTAATTAACATAATAAAGGTACAATAAATTCTTTATTAATGTTTATTGTAATTAACAAACGCCCTACATTACCCTCATATTCTTGGGAAGTGCATCGTGAGTTGTTTTAATTTTACAAAATAAATCAGTATTTTGTTAAAATGTCATGACGGGCAGTTATTTTTATGATAATTTCATGGCTTAGTAAAGGATCAATACGAGTTAAATTTATCTGATTGTTTCTAAGCAACAACATCGTGACATAAAATATTTATTTAGTTCTTTATTTTAGACACAGGTGGATTACGCTTGAGTTGTAGAGACGCGTATATTGGTACATTGCTCCTTTTAATGTTTTATTTGGAATATAAGTAGGTATGTCACAGGTGATTGAAACATAATTCTGGTAGGTAGCTTTTAATTTGTGCTAGCTACTTAGATACGTAATTGGTATTGGTTTACAGAACAAATTGTCTTTTTTATCTAACATTAAAATTTTAATTGATAAGGACGTCAAAATATTTTTTCGCATTAATTATAAAACGTTAAATTAAAACATTTTAGTAAAAAATTTGAAAGTTTTTTTAGTAATATTTAAAAAAGTTCGCAACAAACCTTGCTCTGTTTTAGAATCAAGCACTCACTGACATTGTCAACAATCGACTTAAAAAAAACGAGTGATCAGTGCATATTGCAAGACAATTGAAAACGGACTGAACGGCCTGCGTCTGGGCACAGTTTGTGATATCCAATGAGATAGCCCATTCACAAATTCAACCTAATTTTTAGGTGAGTAAGATTCGTTGTTGTGTGTCCACGTCAGGTTTTGTGAAGGTCGCGCTGTAGGTAAAGCCATGTATCTGATTAAAACTTTACAAAGTACTTAATTGATCAATGGTTTTTAATCAGTGATGAAAGATTGACAGCGTACGCTGTTTTAGTAAAGATAAATAATTAAAAATATCTGCATAAAAAACATTTTTGTAGTTCTAACGATTTGTTTTTTAATTTTAAAATGTTAAAAAAATATCTTTGGCAATCGGTTTTTGGTTAAAAAAAGTCAAGAAAAAGTATACAAATAGGTACGTGTGTGCAAATTCAAGTTAATGACTAGACTTACCCGTTTATGTTGTACCTTTACTAACCTTTATGGAGTTGATTCAGGGCAGGCAAACCTGATGCAAAATGTCAAGGAGACCTAACTACGCCCTGCACCTAGACGGATTATAGGGCGGATTAAATTTAAAATGAATGGTGAAAAGGGCTTAAATTTATTGGCTACGTCTATAAAGCTTACGAAATAATCTCCTCAACTTTAAAGATAAAGATGGGGGTTTTTCATAAATAAATATTTTATTTCATCTCTCGCATATCTTATTCTTCATTTACTATGTAATATGTGTGGTTGTTCGTAATAACAATTTGCAAGGTGGTGCAAATGTAATCTATGGATTTTATATTCTACTAGCGGCCGCCCGCGACTTCGTACGCGTGGATCCCGTTTTACCCCCTTCATCTATCTTACGCTTTTTAGATTTTTTCATACAAATGTTTTTTCCCGCTAACTCCCTTTCCCGTGGAAATTTCGGAAATTCCTTTCTTAGTGCTCTACGGTAAGTACCTAAGCTACGTCCCTTCCAAATTTCAAGTGCCTACGCTTAGCCGTTTAGGCTGTGCGTTGATATGTCAGTCAGTCAGTTTCTCCTTTTATATATTTAGATGATAATAATATCATAGAAATATTGTCTATGAAACTATTGGTATCTGTCTCTAGATCTAGAATAATTATGTCAGCATCTGCAAATAAGTGAAAGGAATGAATATTTCCTCAAATCATGACAAAGAGTAGGCTAATAAGTTAGTTAAGTACAGCATAAAAAACTAACTAAAAGTTATTGTTGATGTTTCACCTTATTTTATTAGGTAAAGAAGACAATACATCAAACTACATTATTTATTTACAACTACATAATATCCTACAATGTTAGACTTGGTGTGCCGTCGTCTGTACATATCAGAGCAAAATTAGGACACATCGTACTTTTTCCAAAGATGAAACTGTCTAATTTTATTTATGTTTTCGTTAAATTGAATAAACTTCGTATAATAGAAGAATGAGACCATTGCCTGTGAATACGACATTAAGGAAAACTCGTGTTTATTATGAAAGGAAAGTTTTGAACAAAAACCTGTGAAAAGACGGATAACATTTTTCTTTTTACATTTTATCAAAGCGTCACAAATCTACCTATAAGTAAACTTCAGTACGACTATCAAGCAGATAGGTTTTCAGATAAGGGACTTAAATTATTCGTATTGGTCAAATAAGGTTCTATTTCAATAGGAAATTCCTTTTTTGGGTCAATAACTGTACCACTTATAATAAAAACATGATTTTAGTTTTCCGTACTAAAATAGGAAGTCATTATGTAAGTAGGAAATCATTGGAGGAGGCCTATGTTCAGCACTGCTGAACATAGGCTGCTGAATCAGCAATGGATGTCTTGGGCAGGTATTTTAAACATTTTCATATTGATGGTTTACGGCGAATCATTAGCCATTAAACAGTAGAATAACCCCGAAAATGCCGAAATATTATCTAAAATTACTTAAAAACTTTTCCAGAAAATCCTATCAAAATAGATCAGTCCATTCTAGAGATAAGTGGAAACTTTAATTTGTATACTACAAACAACCTTTCTATTCTCACCGTATCACATCCTAAGCTAAAAATAGGACAATTTGGAAATTTTCCATAGCGTTATTCGGTATCGATAATTTGGAATTTTTCCATAATATTATTCAGAGTCGACTATCGGTTTTTTTGTCACATAATAACAACATCTATTTCAAATATCACAGGAATATTGGAGTTCCTAATAAATACGAGTATTTTTTACCTCATAAACTTAGAGGTGTCTACTGAAGTGGTGTTCAATACGACTCCTGTCTTGCTATCACTGAATAAAACATTTTTCTCATTTCCTTTCTTTCTTCCATTCAATAAATGAAATGGGAAATTCCTTGGCACCTATTTTTCTATCTTGTATTGTAAGAACTACTTAGTCCTTGTAGGTCTTATCTTATTGATACACTGACCTTTTTCTTGGAGATAGCAACAATTTTCGAAATAACTCGTCACTATCACATTTTCATGTACGTGATTTATCTTTGTCATGAACGGCTGTCAATTGTTGTACTTGTCCAGAACAAAACTAAAGCCATTGGCACACAGCTGGCGTTAGGAGACGGCCAGGTGAGCGTATACAGGGTGGAATTGTAAAATGCCACTTGGAGGGAAAGTACTCATAATATTGTAGATAGAAAAATTTACTCAAAGAAAACATTACTGCATTCAAAGATTTCCAAAAATTTGCTTGCCACACTCGGGAATCGAACCAACTAAAATCTGTTAAAAATTACATCCTGTATTTTTATTGCATCGACCGTTAGGGTTAAGTATAAGGTTAATAAATTAAAGTAAAGGAAATCTTAAATTATGTTAATTATTAACAGAAAATGTTATGATGGTGGTGAATTTTCGCAAATCTTTGAATGCAGTTCTTTTTCTTTTCAAAAATGAAATAATGTTTTCTTTGAGTAAAATTTTCTATTTACAGTATTATGGGTAGGTACTTTCTCTTCAGGTGGCATTACGAAATTCCACCCTGTATACAACAAATACTTACAGCAAATCCTGCATTTACCTCTAACAAATCAGACGGTCCTGCTCCTGCACTTGACTTTACACTAAATGAACTAATGATAATTATGTGTCTAAGAAATGACATACTAATAAATAATTAGGATTTGTACCTAGTAAGCGCGATCTGCAGTGACTCAAGTCAAATTGTATGGAAACGTAACTGGAAGTAGAACAGCAAGTCACTCCTGTTTACAAGAGAGCTTTTGGTTTGTTTGAAATTGTAATTAGGTTCGTTCGTTTCAGCCAAATGACGTCCACTGCTGGACAAAGGCCTCCCCCAAGGTTTTCCACAATTAGGTACTACATTATTAATTAATATTATCCTAATAAACTACTCTAGTCAACTATTTATTAGGATTACTAATTAAGTAGTTTATTGATGCGTAAATTGTTAACGGGTTAACTGAGCAACATCTGCCCAACTAAGGCTGAGTTGCACCACCTAACTTTGACCGTTACTATAACGATAACCGGTGTTTTTTGTATAGAGTTTGACAGATTTTTGACGTTTGTCAAAGTAAGATGGTGCAACCCAGCCTTAATGTAACGAATTTACACTCGTAAATCGTAATGCTTGTAGTGTTTTTGTTCTCTTCAATAGGTAGTCGTAGTAATTATTTAACTTCTGAAATATAGTGTAAGGGTTATTACTTTGAATGGTGAAAAGTATTTTTTTTACTTATTTACCTTATAAACCTTTTTATTCATCTCTTCTTAGTTAAGTACTCGTAGATAGGTGAAAGAAAGATATTATAAGTAACTTATCGCCGCCTCTTTTCTTAGAACTATGACGCTTACTATGAAGTATGTTTATACATTTTATAGTGTTTACGACATAGATTTATCATGCTTTTACGACAGTTCCGTGATAGTATTGATTGTATTGTTAATTAATATTCTTCGACTCGTGGAGACAATAAAAGAGTTAATGATGATATTTTCTTAGATATCTCGTATTTAATTCTTTATCATCGTGGTAAGAGAGAAAACTAAACTTAGTTCAGGATTAAATCAATTTGTTACTATTTTTAAACCATTGAAGTAATATTTACTACGTATAGAACAGACATCACGAACAAAATATGTACAGAGCGGGGTGCGGGGCGGGAATTTGACGGACAGCTGTCAGTCAAATCCATGACTATCAAGTTTCATAATTTATGGCTATAAAATCGGCACCAGAAAATGTCGTACTTCATTGATAGGATTGCACGAATAGTGACGTTCCTGCGGTCGCCTCATCATAGACATTGTGAATCGATTGTGAAAATAAACAAATCGGCTAAATTGTGTTAAAGGATGATGGGCACTTTTCTATGGAATCTGGGCGTAAAACCAACAGAAATGTAACTACTATTATTTGTTAGGACTTAATATGAGAAATATATTTTCATATAAATAACTACCAAAAACTCCCGGGTTTGCTTGGAAATTGACATAATGTGTAATAGTAATAGGAGCTTTATTNCATACTAATTGAAATTCGGTCCACGGACCTATTTGCGTGCCAGAAACAGTCTAGTTGACATGTCTTCTCTAGTACGTAGTACATTATAACTAAATGTTTTAAACCCCGGTAAATTTTCGTTGACAATGGGGAGGAGTTCGGTTGACAAACTCATCATCATCGTCATCATTTCAGCCATAGGACGTCCACTGCTGAACATAGGCCTCCCCAATGATTTCTATAATGACCAGTTAATAACAGCCTGCATCCAGAGCATTTCTGCTACTTTATGAGGTCTTCGGTCCACCTTATGGGTGGATGTCCTTCACTGATTCAGACTATGACTCAAATATTTGAATGTTCCTTTAAATTACAAAGACTTCACAAGAAAAGACCTGATTTTTGTCTTATGGCACAATATTGGTAGTCAATATAATGAATCCTAGACTTCATCGTCATTTATCAAGCAACATTCAAGCCAAAAACTCACTTAGTGAAATGCAAGAATATTGTAAATCGTTATCTCAAGAAACGTTTTGTTTTGTAAGTGTTTGTGAAACAACAATCT